ACGGCCCGGGCGCAGGCGGCACCACGACCCCCGTCCCGAGCGAGGCCAAACTGCCAAGGAAGCGGGTAACAAACATCCTTTTAATAGAAAACACGCGGTTTGGCACTAAACACGGAACAGAATCGTGTGGAGGAACAGAGAGAGGCTAAAAACGGCACAGAAGGGACTGAGGTGGTGCCCACGGGTCACTCGGCGCAATGCCCATGCACCCGAGGGCAGGCCAAAAAGCATCGCGTGGAAACAAGCTGCAGAGTTCCAGGTTGGGTGTCGAAGCCAGATTCCTTCCACTGCTTGCGGAGAAATCCCACTTCATCTTCCCTTGGACATCGGGAGGTGCGAGGGATGGAGTGAACACGCAGCAGGTGGGGCAGCTCTTTGCTGTTGAGCTGATGAGGATTAGCATTTCACGCTGAGGGTTACAAATTCATTGCTTTCGGGAGATGTTAGTACAGAGTATTTTGGCGGTTTATTTGTATTACAGTTGGGCATATAAATAGAGTCAGAACAAGTGCGACTTCTGAGCAAACTCATTATGTACATACCTCAACCTGAATTTAAATGACAGCCATTTCAGTCTGCTGACATTCCTAATACAAACCAATTTAAAGCTTCTGAATAAATATTTGTGCTAATAGAACTACATCAGAACATTCTGCAGCTCAGCCCGGGACACCTGGAAGAGAATCAGTAAAAAACAGCCTGGAAATAGTCAAATGAAAACATAAGCTGCTTGTTTTCATGCCACAAACAAACCCGTATCTAATGTAGGAGTCAGAAATGCTGTGTTACAGTAACAGCGGGAAGCTTGAACAGAAAGGCAGCAGCAGAACACAGAGCCCTTTGCTTTACAGAGCCATGGTCAAACTCTTCTGCTCCCTAGAAGTATTCCTGCAGACAAATACTGAGATAAACGTGTGTTTCCCCGTGCTAAAAAAGGGCATTGCTGAGATTGCCTGAAAGTCCAGGTTCTAACCAGAAAACTACAAGCTGACAACACTACCAAATTTAGCTTCAATAGAAAGTGTTGGAGATCATCAGTGTTTAAGTTGACTATTTGGAATGACACCTCCTTCCTCTCCCTGTGCAAAATGCATGCAAGGTTGAGAACAAAAACATTCGAGAGGTTCCCACGTTAACCAGAGGCAGGATTCAGTTGTGTTTGTCATCATCTCCCCTGTGTGGCTGAACACCCACAGTAAAACCCCACCAAAGGCTGTTGTCCCTCCACGTCCACGCAGGAGGCAGCTCAAAGCCCTGGTTTTGGTCTCACTGTCACTTGTGGTACAATAGGAATGGCCCCTGCAATTTCACAGGGGCAAGGTCAGAAACACCCCAAACCGAGTTGAGATGAGGGGCTCTGCTGCATCAGAGGCTGTGCACTGCTGGGTATGATGCTGCAGGAGCAGAACTCCTCTGTTGAGATCCTGTTTACAGGATAAACAAAGTGCAGAAGCAAATGTCGTATTAAAAGCTGCCTTCTGCAGTCCTGTAAGGAGCCGGACAACAAATAGTTCCCTTTTAAGTTTGACACACATCAGAGCAAACAGCAGGTTCTGCAGGTTGGTTGCCAATATCTACAACTTTCTCCTCATGAAATTAACTCTTAAATTAAAGGCATGAGGATGAAAGCACAGGAATGGTTGCACTAGGATTAGTGGAAAGTCACTAAGATGCTGGAAAGTCACAAACAGGCGAGATGAACAATTGTGTTTCTCCCTACTTTTCGATTAAGGACAGTTGTAAGGAACAGGACTTGCTTTGTTGGTGTCTTTGCTTGGCTCTTTTGCACTATAAGCATCAAAATGAATCACAATCACAATGTATAGCAAGGCAAGGATTAGGACAACAAGGTGGCATGTTTCACCATCGTTCTCCAGAAGCAGCTACTTGGTTCAACATTCTGAACAGGAGAAGAAAGGGATTTACTTAGAGCTTGCTTAAAGAAAATGGGAACACCACAAAATGAGTTCTTGTTAGCTATATATCTATATGGTTCTGCTCTATGGAATTCTCTTTGTCCTCACTGAGAAGAACAAAGGCAGCTTTGTAAATATTTATGAAGGAGGCTGAGAAGGGCATCATCAAACTAGACCAAATAAATCACCCTCTGACACTTGCCCCCTGTTCTTCACATTTGTAACGGGCAGACACAGCATTGAAATAAACTGACCCAATCCAACTGGCAGTCTGGGACCTTGCTCTTCCTTTCCCCAAATGACTGGATTTAAGGCTCCTTTCAAGTATTTAAACAGGTTAAGAATTTTAAGGAAGGTTGAAACCTGTCTGCACAGTCAGATGCTAAAGGAAAACAGTTCAGAAAGCTTTACTGTAACTACTGCGTTCAATTCTACATCATGGTTCTTCAGAACCAAAAGCCAGAGCGAGTTCATGGCAAAAGATGAAAGTAAAGAAGTAGACACAGAGGTCTGTGAAAACATCCCCCATTTTGCTGTAGGTGTCCATGGAGCGACTAATCACTTCCGCGGGGATTCCAGACAGGAGGAGAGCAGCAGTTAACACCGTCGTTTTCACCTTCTTCTCATACTAGAAGATAAAAACCCCACAGTGTTACGTTAGTTCTCCTGTTATAATCCAGTCCTGCTCTACATGCCACGAGTGTTGGGCCAATTTCACACGCAGCCAGGAACATTCCAGCTTCCTCGGGAAGAGTAGCAGGTTTGGACTGATTCTCTCCAGGCACGCCCCAGGATTCACACCACTTATCCCAGCGACAGATTCACACTGTGCTGGATGTGCTGGAGCTGAGTGCAAGGCTGGTCACAGCACATAATATTCATCACACACATTATGTGCTGGCACTGGGGCTGTGCAGCAGCTTCTGCGGGAGTGGGAAGAGTCCCAGACAAGGGCAATCTGGGTGTGAGGAGCTAAGCCAGGCACCTCCGCTGGCAGAACAGGATTCATCTCATCACACTACTTGGCAAAAAAAATACTGTTACTTTTCTAACGCAGAAAAATGATTTAGGATTGAAAACCAACTGTTTCCTTCTATTTTAGTACAGCTCCATTTGGCAGTTTTAGTCTCTGAACCCAGAAACACTCCAAAACCCTTTGAAAGCTGAGCTTAAGATGAGGAATCCCAAGGAGGCAAAGCCTGACAGGCAGGAAATGGTGATACCTGCTCGGTATCTTCATTTAATCCAATCTACATGAAGCTTTCAAGACTCTTTCTGGGTTTCATAAGAGAAAATGAAGGATAACAAAGGGATTGACCTCATCTGGGTATGAATGCAGTAAAAACAAGCTGTGGAAAGGAACAATCTCTTTTAAATTCTGAAACTGAAGAGCTCATTTTGAAGGTAGAAGGAACAAGATCAAAAAGCTGTAGCAGATGATCTAGTGCTTAGAGCAAGTCTAAGCTAATTCTACTGTTTCCTGTTATGATACATCAGCTTAGAGTATCTACCATGAAGTTTAGTTTTCACTTATCTGCTTAACTACAAAAGAAATGCTGATTTATTCTGGTTTTCTACAGGTAATCTCTTATTCCTTTTAAAATGCTAATTTTCCTTTTTGGCCATGGATTGAGCATCATTCAATCCTGCTTTGTGCTGCAGACCTGATAAAGCATCAACCAAACAAATACTTGAGCACAATCAATTGGTGTAAGCATATAAAGCAAGTGATACAGCAAATCTTGCTAATAAGCAGCAAGTTTCACACACAAGCACATGTCTCATTTCAAGCTGCAGTTCAAAATGATACTGGGAATGGAATGCAGAGGCCCTAGAAGCCAAGGGCTGTCTCATTTTGCAATGAACACCCCCCCGAATTTTGCCCAGGTATCACATGCAGATCAGTTTGCTGACAGAGCAAAGAGTAAGCACAGAAGAGCATGGTCTAGGAGAAAAGCTTCCTAAAGACAGGAAAGAACTACCTGCCTTTCCTGGTCAGATGCTTTTAGCTAAACAAGTTTTTAGTCCACATTTTCCCAGCAACTTTAAAAGAGATTCAGACTAAATCTGGGAAGATCAAAAGCAGTACAAGCTATCAGCATTTGGTGACTGTCAATTTACAGTGTGAAATAAGGGAAGAATACTTCACATGCATTGGTCTTAATACATTCTAAGCACAAGTTTAAATTTAAAACATTTTAAATTAATCTGAAATAATAATAGTAAAAGAAATACCTTTGGAAAGTACTTGGCCAGGCCCATGTAAGCAAGTTGTAGAGTAAGAAATGGTGCAAATATTGACTGAAAGAAAAAAATACATGAAAATTAACATGGTCAGAAGTAATAGCTAAGAACACACACAAATTTAATGCTCCTCAAATCATAAATTAGGTAGAAAAATTATTTGTGGACAACAGCAACAGTATTTTGCAATACTACAAACCTAAGCAGAGAACTTACATGTCAAAAACGAGGTTCTGCCTTATTTTCTTTGAACCTAAACCCCTGACGTGACAGAAACATAGAGCAGTGTGTGAGAACGAGCCCAGCAAGCCAGGAGATGGCAGCCAGGACCAGGCACACACGGCTGTGATGCACCAGCAGCACCGGTATCAGGAGACTGATACATGAGCAGGATCTGCTTATCTTGGGACAACTATTGCTGGTCTTACTCTGTTATTCTTTTGTAGACTCCAAACTAGAAAAGCAGCTGATTCATGCTCACAGAGACGGGATATAAGCAACAAGTATTCCAGTGCTGCTGCTCCTCGAGCACCAGGGACTAAAGGTGTGCTACTCTCAGCTCTTACATAGAGGCTGTGTAAGGTAACAGGGATTCATCTCAAAGGTTTTGTACAGCTCTCAGAAACATAAAGAGTTCCTGAAGTTCCTAACTCAGTCGCAGCTGATAAACTTCAGCCCTAGATAAAGGGTATTTCACAGGAAGTTAGCAGTGAACTAGCAAAGCAGAACAGGACAGTTTGTTTCCCTGCACTCACCAAGTGCTTGCACACAAAGGCCCTGACTGTGATGGCCAGCACAGTACACCCCACCCATCTAAAAATGCGGAAAGAGTCAAACTCCTCCGCTGCATTCCCATTCTCTTGGCTTGGCTTCTCATTCATCAGCTGGTTCCTCAGCTTCAGAGCTTCTTCAAATCTAGATAAGTACTGGTCTAATCCGTGTCTAGGTGGTCGTGCTGCAGCTTCAGGTGGCAGTTCCCCCCTGCCACGGTGACGGAGCTCGGTTGTGCCCTCATTGACAAGGTCTGGTGTTTTAGTGAACAAGTCCTTCTCCCCTTTGAGGTCTGTCAAGCCACCTGCATGGTCAGCTGTGCCTGCCACGCCACAGACAGTATCACCAAGCACAATTCGCTTGGAAACTGAAGGAATGGATTTCTCTTGTTCGTGCTGGAGCTTTGATTCTGTGTGACTGTCTTCATCTAGAGAAGACAAACAATAAACACAGGAGTTAGGCACACACCAGCTATGTGGAACAACACTTCAGCCATCCTGGACCGGGGCCACTGCCTCCAAAGTGAAAAGACAGATTTAGGATTAATAAATGTGCTAATTCTTCATCACAAAGACATCTGATGCACTTGAATACATGCAATTCCATTTTAAAAATGGGCTCAGCTGATACACAGCCTCCGTGTGTGTCAAAGGAAAGGGTTACACTCAGGTTACACACAGAAAATGGAAGAGCACAGCATGGACATCTGGGCTTGGGACAGCCCTGGCTACACCCTCTCCACCAGCCTACAAAGAGCCCTTGTGTAGCACATGCTTTGCATTGCAGGGCACCCTTCTGAAGTGGGGCAGACACGAGACAGAAGCTGAACAGTCAGGTCGGAAGTTGAAGCTGTCAGTCAGCACTGGAGAAACTACAACACTGGATTTCCTTAAGCAACAACCCTGCACAGACAAGAGGAAAGATGTTCCAAATATATGGAGCTACATAAAAAGAACAAAGATTTATGGAGAGTGAACCACACAGAAGCAGCAGTAAAGACTGGCAGATGAGCAGGCGATAGAGGCAGCGTACTTTGGCTTGTTCTCCATTATCAGAGGCAAAGCAGTGTTAACCTGCCCTGTATTCAACCTGAATATCCCATCTTACAGCTGAAGGAGATGCCAAAGAACAAAACCAAACCAGGAGGCATGCACAACAGGTCTGGCACTACCAGCGAGCAACACTTGAAGAGTGTTTTCCAGCACTAAAGCAGACTCGTGGGCATCTCTGTAAACTGAAATCTGGGAACCCTTTCCTGACGGGACAGTCGGCTCCTCCACGTACAGAAAGGCAGTGACCTCGTAGGAAGCTGCAAGAAAACCCTGAATGCCACCCACAAGCATCCAGCGGCTGGTTATTACCCAAACCAGAGAAAACCTTGATATAAAAACCCAACCGTGAAAGCAAACAGTTACTAGATGAAAACACAGGGGACACTCATTGTTTCTTCAATTGAGACAAGCTACTTGCAGTGACAGCTTGTGTGCTCGCTGGGCCACAGCAGCCCAGGCCCGAGCCCCGGTCCCGGCCCGCTCCTGTGCCGGGTCTCTCGAGGACCACAAACGGTTCTGCTCTGCTCAAAGCCTCGCTGAACCGAAAGATCGCGCTGAGGCCCCGCTGGAGCTGCTGCGGTAACGGCGGGAGGCGGC